ATCCGATGTGACTTTTTGGATTAATCTTTGTTTTTCTGTTATGTTTGAAATTGAATTTGCTTGCAGAAAGAGAAATTTGGTGATCGAGCAACATTCGACAATGGAATTTTGACCATCAGAAATATAGAGAAATCAGATTTGACTGATTATTTCTACGTGTTCAACAACAATCCAATGGTTTTGACCCTTCAAGAAAAGAATTGAATCGTCAAAACTTTTAAATGATTTCTGAAAGTGTGTTGTTAATTGTAGAACAATTGAGTAAAAGTGAATAACTAATAAAGTTTTTAATTCTTCTGATATTTCTAATTACACCGCATAACCAAAAAATATACGCAAAGACGACAGTATGTGTCATTTTTTGAGACAGTTTTGTATGGAAACAGGAAAATGAACTTTTCGAAATCGCTTGGCATGATTTTTTCGCGAATAATTTGATTTAATTGATTTGATTAATTTTGTTAATTAATTCATAATGATTCGTTTAATTTTATTATTTATGATCACAATTTATTATTGATTTATTAGTCACTATTAATTAATGATTTCGTATCGCTTCTTTCATTAATTATTCTCACACCTGCTAACTCTANTTTTTTTACTATACTTGGTGAATTTTTTTTTGTCTTCTTAAGGATGGAATACTCATCGGAACAATTTTCGACTGATGTTCGGTGTTAATTTTGTTCTTTTTTTTGTTTGTTCTCGGTTTCATTGTTCTTTCTGCCAGCATCCCGTTACCACTCATTTATTCTTGTCGGCTTTGTTTCTTGATTCTTTATTGCTGTCTTGCTTCTTATTTTTTATTGTTGATTGTTCGTTCTTTGTTTCTTTTTTATGTATTTATCTACTAAATAACAAAACGAACGGCAGATCTCAGTTCTCAGAACAAAAGTGAGAAAATAACACGTTTTCGGTGCTCATCAAACGAAATTGAGAAGAGTTCTTTCGGTTTCCACCAACCGAAAGCCAACAAGGCCGGTTCTCGGCGGCAACCGGAATTCGCTGTCCCCCAAACTTCAGTGATCTTCAACCAAAATCGATCGACGCTTGAAATTCGCCTTGTTAGTGACCACGACACTCAATGACCACTGATAGGGGGTAAAATTTTAATGAACCCAAAAAATGCTCACTATAGAGACTGCAGTTCTAATTGAACAACTGTCTTAAATTTCCGGTGAAGGTTTCCTAGGTTGAATTTCTCTTGTGATGTTTATAGAGTCGTATAGAGTTGTTTTATTCTCAGTCTTTCATATCACCAATAATCGTATTTTATCAGCTTTCAATGGAATACAGAAAGTATAAATAGACAGTAAATTTTTTGACCAAAGCAATCTTTAATCCATCGCGTTGACATTCGTAAACTGGTTCACGTCATCGAATTCACCCAATAAATATTCATTTTTCACATTCCCCGTGTCATTCGAATAATCCGGCAGTGTTCAGTGGAAACGAAATGACACTTTTAAATGGCACGAAGTGACGAAAACACTTTTAAAAACTTTGATACTTAGAAGCAACTCTGAGTTTTCGTTATGCTGTGCAATACATCTGTCGCAGCACGAGATTATTACATCCTCTCGTAATATGCTCCACTTCGACAAATACTCTTCTGCATATTCGTGCACATTTGCAGTTGACGTTTGTACAGCCAGAGATTATTGAGAAATTGGGTAATATCCGAGCCAACGTAACACCGTTCTGTCAGATTTGCTAATGAAGAACGTTTATTTGAATGTGAATGTAATGCAACAACAATGACACAATTTTCTTTTATAAATCTGTTCGAAATTACGTATTGTATTCAGAGTCTATAATGAAAAATCTCTCGCAAGTCTTATTGAAATATAATATCACGGTATCATGTTGCAGTCGTTAGCCTATAACTGAATTTCATTATATCATTATACTCATTAAATTAAATGCTGTTATACTCGTTTATGGGATTGCATATTAAGTTGAGTTTTTCGACAGAGAATCGCTTGATTTAATGGATTTGTTGTGACTTTTTGATCCACTCCAATCTCGGTCAGAAACTGAATTCGTAAATGTTGTTCTACTTCCTGCAGTGACCGAGTCTTCAGATTGTGATGTTGATTCGTTATCACGACCTGTTCGTGATAGAATTTCGCTGAATTGTTCAATAAGCTGAGTATCGGTTTGTTGTGTCTTATCACATCGGATACTTTCTTCTGTTGAATCGAGTTTCTGAGTTACGTCGACGGGTAGTTGTGATAACTCTTGTGCCATTGAAATAGCTTTTGTACCGTTTCTTTTGTGCTTAAACAATTCTGATTTTCTTTCGCTAATTTTCTGTGTTGCTTCAATACCAGATAGTCTAGTGGGTTTTGCGACTTTAACAGACTTCAACTGCAATTCTTTTTCGTATGGAAACTGTTGTGTATTTGATTGGAACTGTTCATTGCACAGCTGAAATACAAAATGTGTATATCAGTTGATAACCTTTGAATGATGCCATAGCATGATCACTATAACTATGAGATCTTCGAGAAATTTAGCCTCTTAATTGTTTTATTATTCATCGATTTTCAATGCGCTTCGATTAATGTTTCAATCCACTAATCGCTTAAGAAGCATTTTAGAAGATTGGCGATTAGCGAAGGATGCAGTGACTTTTCATAGGTGAGTGAGCACTTTTGAGCAGTCGCAATAAAAGGTTCGGCTCGAATCGAAACAGATCGTTTTTATCGAAGATAAGGTTTCACTGGATCATGTTGTGGAGTTGAGCTTCAGAAAGGACTCATCAACAACGACAGTGTGTTTCTAGAAAAATGGAACTGCACTTAGCAAAAATGAGTTTGAGTAGTGAATAAATGTCGCAATAATGAACGGGAATGAGGAAACCGAATGTGATGATGATACTTTGTAATGCTGTGCACTTGTCATTACACCAGCATCGCAGCTCTGAGTTGATCGTTCTTGCAGTGAAGGCTCAGTGATATTTGATCTCAATTAACAGAAATAAATTAGCGCTAGTAATTTTCGATAACAACTTATTCTACCGATACCATTGAGGAAGTGACAGCAGATGTGTGGCATCTGAGTCCATCCACTGTTCTCGCTTTTGGCTGACAGTAAGGTACATGGGGCTAAATTTAATGAATCCGTCGTTTGTTTTTTGGCCCAGATACTTGTAAGTCTTATGCACCCTTCTTCATGCTGAGAGTAGTGCACAGGTTAGGTGTTTACCCACTCGCCACATAGTTGTTGTCTGTTACAACTACTGAGAAACTATTTATGTTCAGTACTGATGAACAATTTGTGATGAGGAATGTAAAGGTTGTGATTTACTTTCATACTATTATATTCAAAATTCAACGCCGTTCAGAGAGGTGGCCATCGTTAGTGAGACAAAGAAGATGAAATACTCTCGCTATTCGAGAGTGCTTTCTCATTTATTTTGCGAATACAAAAGTACGCAGTGAAAACAAGAATTGGAACATACGGCTGCACGAGTGAATCTTTTGAAAGTGACTGACTTGCACGATCCAACATTAAAAAGGATGTGGTAGATGAATCACCTTCGCACATACTTGTTCGTAAACTCATTCTTACTGATCGTTCGATAATTGCTTAATCAAAAAAATCCACATGAATCAGAAGTATATTTGTTCCGAAAGCAATATGCGATTGATATGAATCAAAAAGATGATTTAATGAATTCGCTGAAACGAATTCCTGTAGGTAACGGAAAAAATTTCATTTTTGATGGCGACATTACTAGGCGAAAAATTTTCGTGGCACCTCGTGATTTCTCCAATGACTTTTGCTTTCTTCTCTTCCGAATATGCATGCACAATGATGCTGACACAAATATGGTTATGAGTACGGCAAAATGATGCGTTATCGCAAAACTCTAAAATGCAATCAGCAGTGAATTTGCGCAGTCAAACAACGAAAAAAGCGAAATGGTTGATCAACTGTCCTTCTCCACAAACTATTCAGATCAATTCAACGCTGTATTATTTATGGCTCATCTTTCTGCTATGTCCTAAACACTTCTTTAAACGTTATATCAGTGTTCAGTGTTTATTCGAAGATATCGATCCCAACAGATTTTACTGCTGTCGTCATAAATCCGATTAGAATGCATCACATAACATTTTTACTATATCATAATTTCTGTGGAAAAGAATCTGAAAGTAGAAGAAGGAGAATATGGTGTTGGTGATAACCAAGAAACACAAAGTCGTAATGTGCTCTAATTGCTTACAAAATGAATAGATAAAATTTTTGTGCATTTATTGTCAACAGTTGTTGAATTTTTGTCACATGTGTGCACATATAAGATTTGCTGCAGTTATGGGTGAAATTTTTAGCATGAACTGCAAAAATGAAATTGAATAAACAAAATATGATCGTAAAACAAACATACGTGCAATAGTAATTGAACATTCATCGCAGTATATTTCTTACAGGCATTAAAAATGCTCATCACTCACAAGCTCAAGACTCGTTTCAAAACAAAACATTAAGTTGAAATTCCATACAACGAGAGACGAATTGTAAGACAAGCTCAAACACGATGCTTTATAAAAATACAAATGAATTATGCTCTTCTTTGTTGTGAATAATGCTCGTTTGGAAATTATTCGCTTTACATAAGCGAGAAAATTTCAAATGTAAATTTTGAAGAAAAAAACATGAAATATTCAATAAAGTATATGTGAACATATAATACAATAACAGAATTAATTCACAGTATTAGATATCAATTTGCGATTTCAATATTCAAAATAATATTCATTATGGTGTAGCATGCATGATGTTTATTATTCAGCTTACGAATTCGAGAGAGATGAAACGTATTGATGAAAATTTTTTCTGTGTAGTTGAAAATTGCGATTAACACAGAATTGTTCCTGATCGCAATGCAACAATGAAGCCATCGAACTTTCAAAGAGAGCAACATAACACGACTGTTTGCCTTCACAAAAGATTCACGATCGAAACAAATGTGAGACCATTCTGACGGTGTTTCACTTAGGTGGATGGGGCGATTGAGTTGCACTTATCGACTGAGACTGAATTGGAGTGGAAGTCACCAGGTGTGCGCCATCTGAAGCGCTCAGTTCGACTTTCGCTTCTGATGCGTTGCTCCTTTTTGATGATGCAGTTCGCAATTCGTCATCTCTGTCTACTGAACATAGCAAAAAGCAGTTTTGTGTTGCATCAAGTAACGAGCATAACCTAGTGAAAGCGAAATATTCAATCGAAATTAGCAACGACGACGAATTCTGGTGCAGATGCAGTCGTTAAATATAAAGAATAACTTGACGGTTAATGACTGATGCATATTAAGCACACACAAGGAACATTTGAGTGTAATTGACTCACCTTCTGATAGTGGTTTCGATGATTTTGGCTGTTTTCTTTCATCGTTGATCATCTGCGTTTCATCGGATACTTGTTTTAATTGTGATATCAGCGAATGAAGCCGTGATGTTCGAGGGGAATGCTTCTGAATTAACGTAACTACCTACATACGGCGATGCGAAACTTTACATTGGTTCTACCGATAAATTGATGCTGCGTTCGTGTTCAGTAAGAAATCGTACGAAACTCGAGTGGACCGCTGAAAATTTAATAAAGTATAAGGAAAAGTAGCGAAATGATCACTTACAACTGAGGCTTTTGTGGCTGTGTCAACGACGGTAGCGTCTGTTTTTTGTACAGTTTCGGTTTGCAGTGTTTTCTCGGTGTTTCGAAGTTCAGACTGAGTTACGGCCATTTTCTGCGTACGTCGCGACGATTGACTTGAATCGTACTGTGTGACATCAGCATTCAGTTCGTACTGTGTGATCTTCTTCAGTGACTCCAGCTTACAGCTGACCTGAAATAAAGCAAGCTGCTGGATATCGAAATGACTGACTCAATTTACACCGATGTAAAAATCAACTTGAATCTGTTCTCTACAAACTGAAATAATTCTTCACCTTCGACTTCTTCTTGAGCCGATTGCTGGATAATTTTGCAGGAGGCTGAAAGTTTGAATCCGTATGACTCGAAAATATATCAGGTTTTTGAATAAAGTTGAGGTTGAATGAATTGAATTTTGTGAGCTGAAGACTCGCGAAAATTTTCACAATTTTCATTATTTTCAGAACAAATTCCGAATGTATTTATAAGAATTAATACAAACAGATTTTGATCCTTGCAATGTTCAGCTATGAGCTCATTGAAATCAATAATGAGGATATCAACAAATCACATCTTAGTTCGGATCAGATGTCAACTGAATAGCAGTTACATGAGTGGATCGACAGCTAAGTATTAGAATATTTACCTGCTTTGACTGTTCAATCGTAGCCCTTTTAACATCAACCTAAATTTGGAAATTATTATTCAAATAAAAAATGCATAAAATTAAGGCATCATAAGAGTTTATTACGAAAATTCTCATTATATTTTCAAAAAAAAAAACTTGCAACAGCCGACTGGAATGCGACACAATTCTCGAGGAACGTTTGGCGTATAAGAGGATGAAGGATGTAAACCTTTTTGGGTGCTTTCTTGATTTCTGAATCATTCAGCGAAAGCGACAAATTGCTTTCCGGTTCATCCGAAGTTGCTTGATCAGATGAGTGTACGTTGTCTGTCAGTAGCACCATTCCATCCTTGAAATGACATTAAACTGATTATCACTCAATGCCGCAGGTTATCGCGTAAGGAATATAAATTTTCTCTGATCTCGGTTGTACTACTGAATTCAATCTTTACGTCAACGAAATTGAGCTGAGTTGATTTAGAGCCAGACAAGAGCTGATAGAAATCACAATGGAAGAGTCTTTTGTATTCAATTTACATTTCGAAGCATGAAAAAATCGAGAAATTGGATAAGGAATTGCAATTAAAAATGCTTCTTCACAGCATACATCGACACCGACTGGTCGCAGAAGGACGCTCGCAGGTCCGATAACTTGATAGTGATCATTGAATGCTGATAGCGGTTCGACACTACACACAAGCGTACGCCATCCAACAAATAACTTCTTACCGGCATCAATTTCAAGCCTTTCCTGAGACTTTATGAAGCGTGCACAAAGTTTGAATAACTTATCGAAATCTTCGATGGTCATCAACGAGAATCTAAAATCAAACAGTTCATTCCAAAAATATGAATATTTGTGTGCTTGATGAATATCCTGCAAATATCTGTTTTTGCTGTAATGTTAGTAAACAGGGAAATACGCGGATCTAAACTCTTAGAAATGGCCAACGTGAGACCTAACATAAAACTTTAATGAACAAAATAAATGCTGAAGGAAAATACAATTGATTGTGCTCCTTGAGTTCATAAACAATCCTTCTCCTCTGCTCTTTAGTTGATATTATTCGAATTATATCGCGATCTGCATTCCGAATCCATTCCATCATTGATTCATCGACCTCGATCAAATGACAATCCGTTGTTGTTTGGTAGACCACTTGCGGCTTCTTTATGGATTCTTCTTTCTGCAGAATTAAAATTATTCCTCTCAGTCACGTTATTAACATCATTATCATTATTTTTTTGATGCAGTCACTATACGGTTATTATCAATATCATCAATGCTCTCCCGAATAGAACTGCCTCACTTTTTGTGCAGATCTCTTCTTATGCACTTAATGAAACTGCAGTTTTTATGATTAACTGCTGTGGAAATTTGGAGTTCTCATCTAACGACACGCATTGATATAATCGCCGAAAAACTGAGCAACTGCTTAACAAACTAACAAAGTTTTTATTTTTTAAAAGATTTCGTTCTCCAATGAAACGTCCTTGATGTACATAATATTCATGACGATGAACACTTCCAATTGCTGTCGATGATGTTTCGGTAATTCTGAAGTGTTATCACCGTTCGCTGTTGTAATCACTCATTGCAGCTACTATTCAATCTTATCATAAGCATGCATTGTGATGAGGAATAAAACGACATTTCCAGCAAAAAAGCTGCTTTCCATGTCCTAATTTAAATACGTTTTACGTAAAAAATTTCGTGAACAGCGCGATTTAGATATATGTGGGATTCTTCACAATGCACATAGTGAGTGATCAATTCATGTGTAATAGGTTGTGAATTACCTGCAGATACCCTTCCTAATGAAGAACATTTTCGATCCATAAGTGTGTATTTGATGATCGTACGGTAAGAATAAACTGACAGCTGTTTCGAAATAATCAGCAATTTTATTGATGATCGATGGACGCTTGCGAACATCAAGTGATTCGATCCAATGGACACATTCTAACACATCGTGAATATCTGTGTCCGGTGCCAGTATCAAACGATCACCGTCATCTCGAAGTCGTTTCAGTGAACGTTCCCAAACGAGCATTGATTCTTCATGGATCAAGCCCTGACTGAAACTTTCATATGCTTGTCATCAATTGTTCTATTGAACAAGTTTTAATTCAGTGAATTATCAACACAATAATGTGGAGTGTCTTCTGTGAGTGAGAGAAACTAACGAATTCAGTGAAACGACTGTATTATGAAGAGCGTGTGATGCCATTCGAATTGCTTGACGAGTTTTGATGCTTGGCACTAGATCGAGTATTTGCTTATTCTTCTTCATTGTTTTTCGAATGAGTGCATCAACAATTTTATTCAAATATTTCTGCTCAACCAATGCTACTTTGAAGGCATTATCCGGGAATAGATGAAACGTTACGGGTGGTTGGCTGAGAAGATACTGTAATGAGTAGAGCGCTGATAGTTCGACTCGTACTCGCAATAACTGCAATTTCACAAGACATTCATAAGAATGTTCATCGACATTCATGAGTAAATCAATTCTCGTTCGCTTAATTCAAGATGGATGCTTAATTCTCACAAGAATATTTCCCTCGCAACCGTCCTACTGATCATATACGAATTCTTTCCACATTACTGTCAAGTTTGGAGATTTATATAGTTTACATGCGAGTGCGGCAATTTGCTCGGTGTCGTGAAACTAGATAAGGATACGATTGATCCACTTACACTTTGAACGTACACTGCTTCATAAAGTATGAATACCAGCAGAGGGGTGGCACGTATCAATTTCAGAACACATAATGCTGTATGAAACAGAAATGCTGTTATGCGTGCAAACGCGCAAATCGCTGAAATGGTGTCATATAAACAGAAAATTGAGATTACTGAAAAGATCAGCTTTCAACTATCAATACAGATCAATGACAGAAAAATCCAGAACAGGAGATAGCACTAAACTGGGGTGGTTCGATTCGTGTTAACAACTGGCTGCATTAATTACTAGGTAATGAAAAGCGCTTATAGACGCTTTTCGTTACGTCAGAGATCAACTGATTGTTAAAGCTTGTCGGCGAAAGCAACGAATATGCTATCACATTTATGAACACAAAATCTCGCGAAATATCTGAACTGCAGTGTGAGTTCAGCTGCTTAACCCTTCAATTCATTTTAAACTGTTATCGATAAGCTAAACTTAATCTGACGAGAATATAACTAACGAGTAACATTCCAAGTGGCCATCAACGACACACAATCGCCATTCGAATGCTTCGTAAGAAGTAATGTTATCGTAATCGTAACACCCAAAATAAGCGCTCCACAAACGGCACAATAACACATTTCAGCGGCGAATCGAGAAATAAACCAGAAACAACGCATTCCGTAACGACTGAGTTCCTTCAATTCTCCTCCGGTTTGTTCGATTATATTCTTTTTTAACTCCCGACGGTTGCATTTCATAAATATCTTCGCGACATAATTGCCAAAACAAAAAAGAGGTATCAAATTCTACGGAATGGGAACAAAGCTGAACTGGTAACGAAGAAAGTGACACCAAAAATGAAAAGTTAACAAACCATTCGGTGAAGTGGCTTTCGAAAACGATGAAAATAGAATAACTCTTCGATGAGGAAAACCATCAAGATAAAAAATGTAACAACCAATACGGAATATCTCAGATGCGATTCCATTTTGTGATATAAAGCGAATGTGAGAAGAACCGAATGTATCACACAAATCAACGCCGAAAATAACAGCCATCTGAAGAAAATGATTTGATTTTGACTTAATATTCAACTTCTCATTTCAGTGACGATCTCAAAATCGTTTTAGTTCATCTAAATGATCACCCTTACTTCTCATTGTAATTTCGTTTTCCGGTAGCTACATTTCCCATAGGTAATCTTCAATAATTTCGCGTCTGTTCATCTTGTTACGAAATTTTGCCTGTTAAATGATGAAATAAAAAGTGAAGGAGAAAAGTAATTGCATTTCATATGATTGGACATTGCCAAACGAATAAGCCGACCTCTCCTTATCGCGCAAAGGTTGAACAACCGTAACATCGCGAGGCATTGTTTCTTTTAAGAATGGATCGCTCCATTGACAAAATCGATTCAATAATGTGTCCTTATCAATCCATTTCTTGAATTACAATTCAGTTTTTCGCATGATTCAAACAGGTTTGCTGTTATGATGACTGACAAGAATTTGAATTGCTGAATTGCATCAATACTCCGTCAGTATAGGAAAAATCGTTTCAGTTTATGGTCAATATTCGAATCAATTTCATCGGTTTATTTACCTCAATAAAACTGAACAATTTAAGAAGGAAACGTTGAAAACAGTTCAGTTTGGATATATGTAAATGCTCTTTGAAATCATCCAAATCGAGCTTCTCCTCGTCAATACCATGCTCCAGTAATTGAATCATTATATGAGCTGCAGAACCGGAAAGGGCCCCTCGAGCCCACATATCGTTCACTCGAGCCAGCAATATGCTATAGTATCCAGCACAAATATCTCGATTTTCTTCATTTTTCTGAACATTATAAATGGAGATTTATATATTATATAGAAAGAACTGATCGGCTGTGGTTGGCTGAAACTGATCTCATTGAACGCTGGCTATCTATTGATTTTTGAGCTTTCGGATGGGCCGAATAATTATAAACGCTGGACCTTTTGAAATTGCTATGCAGAGTGTGTCAGTCTGAAATTGTTCTTTTTAAACATCAAACGAATAGTCATTCGATGAAAGAGCATACATTCAATTCCTCCAGGGTTTCTGTATGTGCGGAGCATTCTTCAGATGTTTGCACACGAGATTGCGATCCAAGTCCGAGGGTAAATCCCTGAAGAATGAGTTGAAAATCATTAAAAACTCATTCCATATAAAGTGCCCGGGAGATCCTATCCTCACATGAATTTGCCTCTCTTGAATCATCTTCACACTAATTCGATTACTAGATTGACTGCAACAACCGATTTCCAGAAGATTATCAACCAGTAAAAATGTGTACCTTAAAAACATTGGCTTCAATTCGTTCGTTCACAACCTTCCAATTCGCTTCGGTTAAATAAAGTTCAGATCTCCGATGCATTTTCTCCATCTCAATGCGCAACTCATTGTTGAGATGATTTTCGAGATTTTTTTCAGAATCTTTTATGAAACGTGATCTATGATTTGTACCTTCTCGCTTGGTCAACAACGAGAATGTCATTCCCTGAAACGATGTTCGTTATATAAACGCAACCAATTTAGGTGACTTCTTTCAAAATGGTTTCTGGCTGAAGTGATTGAATGTGTAAGTGATGTGCAAACCTGTATGAGTAGACACAGGCTAACGGCAGCGCTGCAATAAAGAACGACTTTTTGTCCAATGCGTTCACACACGATATCACCCTGTACGGTTCTTGTGAAGTCATGTGCTAGTAGGAGTGCAAGTGCACCCTTCAGACCACCGTATGCGAGTAAGACGCAATCCGAGTCGTACAAACGGTGCTGTGTTTCAACAGATTCCCATAAGTATTTAAATACAGCGATGGCAAGCATTCTTGCAACCACACTGAACGGGTATAACAGAATACCGGATATCAACAAATGCGTTACATTCATCTGAAATTACATTCGACAACTTTTACCAAATTTTTTGCGCTGATCATTCTCACCCTTTCGGGCATTCATTTCACTTAAACATCATTGTAGACAGAAATTCAGTGCGTGTTTCGAAATGTGAATTTGAATGTAATACAATCACAAAATGTCGTTCTATTTTGGCTACATTGTATCTGTAGGTGATGACAAGTTAGTTCCCCAATGAAGTCATATATATCCTAACGTATTGAATTTCATGATTCACTTAAAGAATGTAACCTTAAGAATAACACTTTTGAACAATAAAGATCCAATGGAATATCCTCCAAACGTGAATATAACACAGTTCGCCCAGTAACCGAATGAAGCCCACATTTGCAAAGCCATTTCAACTGTTGAAGGCTCCAACTCTTCCCTTAAAAAAAGCAATTTTCTTCAATCAAGTAAGTAATTGTTTAGCTTAGTGATATATCATTGAACATCAATTTCCTTTGTATCATAATACAAACCTAGCAATGATAAACAATACATATTTGCAGAGCTGCTTCTATATCAAATTCTTGAAACTATCGCTGAAAATTGCATCGTTTGAAGGTCATTCCTAGATACGATCCAGTGATTATTGCACACTCTCATTGTGAGCAAATCATATTCAAATGAAGCGAACAATTCACAGTTCATTGCGATCGAGTGAAAATAGCTCATTCCGGCTGAATTAACTGCTAGATTCAAGCCAATACCAAACCATATAATCTACCTCATGTAGTTCAGCATAACACCATAAAAAACAATTAGGACGGCCGGCGAGCCATTAATATACTCGCCAAGAAACCACATAATGTAGACGGTTACCACTAGAAACACCTGAAACGGAAATCTTTCTGCAATCGCGACTGCATAATTTTTCGCTATTAGGGAATACCTCTATATGAAGCGGTAGATTAGCTAATTTGAAGATGTTTTCAAATTATGTTTCAGCGTGCGAACAGTTTATGCAGTCTGTTTAAAAGTTTGATTGATCCGAAACAGTCACATGAGCATATTCTCCCATTACGTAAGCAAGAGATCATATAAAGAGCAAAACGCTGAAAAGTTGTGAAGAGTACCTGAATTTTTTTGTTGTCACGTATGGCAATTCGAATAACACGCACTACAAACTGTGCGAATAGGATGCCAATAAGAGGCGATAATATGATACAATTAGCGCACATAAATGCTAAATGATACCATTTTTCATCGGGTAACTCTTGCTTCGACTCTGCCTTGAATACTTTAGTTATCATTGACTGAATGCAAGAGACATTCATGTAAATCACATTGCCCAATGCAAGGGAAAAGTGAAATGTTTTGATTACTTTCTATTAACCAAAATGTTCAGCTGATAACTGCAGAACAATCAGAATTCATCAGCTGACAAATTATTGTCTTCTTAACTGAATGATTAAAGTTGCGATGTTGTGAGTAACTGATCAAATGTTTGGGACATCTGTTCGAAATGAACATAGCCATCTTGTTAAAATCTTGTTAATGCTAATGGCGATGTCAATATCGAACTGATAGTAATCAGTGACAATAATCTCGTAAAATATCGTCTTCAGTGGCAATCATAACGATGACGTTACTGATGATAGCACAAACCTTCACATAACTCGCACAAATACTGTATGCAAATATTGAAAGACCATCGTTGAGTAACGATTCACCCTCAATGATAATCCTTAATCGTTGAGGTGCGCCGATTTCTTCAAGAATTGCGACCACAGCGATTGGATCAGTCGCAGCCAATATCGAGCTCAACATCAACACCTGAATGAATCGCTACTTTTGATGATAACTTTTTTACACTGACACTTTTGAACACAATTTTTTGCTGGTATTCCGCCACTCAATAACACAAGTTGTTCCTAGAAATGGTCCCGGATTCGATATCCAACACTGCAACAGTTTTTAAAAGCAATTGGCATTTGAAACAATTACTTGAGATCGTCTCTGAAAGAAAAGACTCCCAGAATCCCTTGAAAATTTTGATCTACCGGACAACGCGATTAACATCTCGATTGCTGTTAGGGGATTCTGAATAGTTGGATAGTTCATTAGATTCATATTATTGATCATTCCTAATTTAGATGCTATACAAAAGATCCGTTCTAGTGAACAAGGTATGTTCTGGTTGGACGGTTGTAAAATATGGTTATTTACCGTAAAAATGCTGCAGTCATCTGTGATTCGAAGGATCGGAAAGGTGAATGCTGCATATGTGACCATTGTTGAAATGTAAACAAAAGTCGTTAATGCGAATAATAATTTCAATTTCCGGAAGAAAAGATGTGAATTAATTTTGAACGCCGATTCGAATATCATTGGAGGTAATAAGATCTGAAAATTTTATCAGTTATTTTACGAGCAAACGAATGAAAGCGTGGTGGAAGTGATGACTCAGTAATTTGCTTTTCCATTTATCATTTTCAGAGTATCAATATACTCGGGTTTGCACAATGCGGCTTGAACATTGACTTTTTCTTTGACAGATCATATATAAAGCCATGGGCATTCTGTAAAGCAAACTGCAATCCATTCAGAGTTAAGACTACGTATGCCGATGACTGATCTCGAACGATGTACAACATTCTCGCTTAACGACTGCTCCAGATTAACATATCAATGCTATTTCAAGGACATCTCTAATGCTGAATTCTATCGTTCTCAGGTCATCAATGTGACGGTTGGTTATTTTCTGTTTTTCTGGTCAGATGTGAACTGAATTCTCAACACAACTATGCTTAAATTGCTTACTTGAACGATATGCTCGGCATCCATAGTTTTCCACGTGTAATTTTTGTTGACAATTTCGATCAGCGAAAGAGGTAAGAATGCGTGAAGTATGCTGCTGTAATATTTCGCAAGATTATTGTGCTTCACTTGACATGAATTTATTCTTCTTGCTAAAGTTGGGTTGGTGGTGATCGAAATTTGGTGGTCAAAGTGACTCTTTAGTCATGGTCGCCCACTAAATTCAGCTAACTTATTTGCTGTCAACAACCAGTCCATATTAATAAGCAACTTCTTAGATTCTGATACACGTGTACTGTGGTGCATTGTTTAATGCAACAAGCTGAATACGTTGAAATTGCTGCAGAATAATTCAAATGACTGTAAAATGAGCATTTGTGACGACGAAATGAAAACATACCTAACGAATAACGAAAACATGAATATAAGTATTGTGTTCGGAATATGAAGAAATCGAATACGTTCATTGGTCGCATCCAGGAGCAAGCCAGCAATCAGCGCCAGCACCGGAAACACAAACGCCTCCATCAGTCCCTCCCCGGTCGATAACCGACCACCACGCGAATGAATACAAAATATAAAGTGAGCTCAATCGCGAATTAACTGTATTTATAGNTTGTTATTTGAATAAATGTCAATCTTTGAACGCATGCAAATATTTCATTCATACGGTGACCATAGCTGAAAATTTGAATGTTGCTGTTTGTTCTTCATTCAAATTATGCTGCCAACGCTAGCAATCATAACATTCGAATAACTTCAATTGCCCCTAACCAAAGCCGCTGACAACAAGCAGTATTTTGAATATTAAACCAAAGTGATCCTTTACTATCGTAACACCTCGGTTATTAGTACTATCATATGATCAATGAACATGCTCTTCTGACCAGTCATCATCATCTCTGTGTAACTTTGCAAGGGATTGAAGCTGGTGTTTTTATACCGAATCCCACTTTTCTGATTTATTTTACTTTACTCTGTTCATTTATTCTGTTCCCCAAACCACCCCACCACAATCATTATCACTGATATCTGCTGCTGTTATCATCACCACAACAACACTGCGCATCCACATGTCGCAACATCTGAAGGTAACCTCTCATTATTTTGACTCATTTTCAAAATGCGCATAAGTTCGAACATTTATGTTATATTCATCATATTCTATGCACATATTTACAATTTATTATTCAGAGTTTGGACAAGTTCGACGATCGACGACTGCGTTTGTGATTTGCTCATTTTCTCGAGCGCGTGTACGTGGAGCTGTCCGTTTGAAAAGCCAAGAGCCTGGAAGTTTCTCACAGAGAGTTAGAGATTTTATGATTATAATGACGGTATCAGAAATTGCAATCAGTTTAAGATAACAACGATTCATGTGTTGAGTGGTTCTGTGCAAATGTCTTTGTTCTTCCGAGAACAATTACACTGCGGAATTGTTATCGTAATGTCCGATGTTCATTTGAAGCATATGCGATTCCAGTAAAGTTTCACAAATTTAATTCACGAACCAAAAAAGGAAGCACTGTTTCATCGGTGCCTCGTCGCGATTTTTGACTCCATACAGTTGTACAAAGCACACTTGCATGAAATTCACTCAAGAGATCGCATACAGCAATTGGTGATTTACCAGTTGCAATATCCCAAACCAACAAATGCATTCCCCCATGAATCGAATAGAACACTGACTGGTACCTTAAGAGTGGAACGTAAATAGCGAATGAATTGAATCGAAAATTCCACTTGCATGAATATTACCATGAGTATTTTCGTGTAGTTCAGACGTTAGATTTCAGCATGAATTCGATGTTAGTTCTCATAATTAATTTTAATTTGTCAAATTTTCAGAAGTGAATGAAAAAATGTAATGAGTGACAGTTTCTAAGGATAAAAACAAAAGAAGAAAGTATTCTTATGTGAAAAGTTGAACTGAAAATTATTGTTCAGCTATCGATTACAGTTCAAATGAAAAACCTCGGAGAGCATTCAATATGCATCACTGGCTTTCGGGAACTGTTTGGTGGCCTCAAAACGATGACTGGTTCGGGTTGTTGCAGTTTGTAGAGTGCAACGCATCCGCTCGATAGACCGGCCTGCATTCAATGGCATAATTATAAATTTTAGCCCGAGTCCAATTAACATTCAAATTCAAGTTTCAAACAATATAAAATAAATAGAAGTTATTTAAGTTTTTCCAAGATATTCGTGACCAATCCAGGTTCACTAGATTCATCCGTACCGACAAACCAAGCAGATTCGAATATAAATTACTCATTACTCACAGAAACCGATGAAATGGATCGAACAAAATAGAAGATTGTAAAGAATCGACTGAAAATGATTGATCAAAAATCATCAGCTACAAACTAGGAATGACTGAAATAATTCAGTAGAGATAATAAGTTTTGTTGACTTGGGTGGATGATAACTGACAAATGGACACTCACAAATAAAATAGATGAGTCGAATGGTGATAATTTTTCGCATAGAACTTCATCGGATTTATCTGGAACTGTGATTATAAAAAGCCACGCAGACATAGGGTCAGTTTCATCAATTATATTCAGCCGTAGCGCTCGAAGCTAGTTTCGTTAAAGACTCAGATATTCTCACGAAATTGCATCCACTCAAAAATCATTGAGAATGCAATGGGTTGTGTTGCAATGAACAGCAATGGATATATAATGCAATAGTTATATGATTCAATGGTTGAATTAAAGCGGATGAAGCAATTGATGTAATACGCAGCTGAACGCAAATTGCTCACCATAATTGTTCGTATAAATTCTCGGTCCCGAGTATGCAATTCCTTTGAATCGAACGAGATTTAAAATGAAACCCGCATCTGTGCCTACCAAAAACTGATTTTTGTTCTTTGGATTCGTCAACATTGTATTGGCGATCAATGCTGGTTGAAAAGTCGAATTGCTGAAAACATTGTTTGAAAGCGCCTCCGGAAGTAGGCATCGCGAAAGTGCATCCATGAAGGTATCACTTGACACAAAATTATGAATGTGCGGGATGTGAGGGTGGAAATGTGGCTCAAATTACGGCAACAGGCAAACAAACTGGAAAAATCTATGGCCGTATCGAGCCTGATTTCGTCACCGTAAACACGCACACATCTGAGGTGAATGACAGTGAATGGAAACACTGTAGGGGACTTGCCGAAGAACTGACGAACAACGGCGGAGATTAAATTTTGATCTATTCGTAGCTCTGAAACATTTTCGAAGCGACAGTTCCGATGTTTCTGGTGCTGCGCAAATGTTGAAATTTTTATGTCAGTTTTGCTTATTTCTTCGGATGAAATGTTTTTTCTTTAGTTTGAGAAATCCCTTCTGAGGTTCATGGTTCGAAACGTAGAGAGTGATAATAAAACCACAGTTCGGAAGCCAGGAAAACTCAGCGGTCTTATAGCATGGAACTTACTCCATAATTACCCTGTCAGGTTTGATCACGTCACTTTCATTCATTTTCAATGTTGCTCCAGGTCGCAGTCCCAGATCAATGTCCCAGTTGCTCGTCGAGCCACTGATAATTGCCCAAATGATTATTGTACCAAGCTGATTAATCGTAATTAACTGGTACGATCCGTCAATGCTGCAAGACAAGCGATGATTGACAATTCTTCGAAAAAAATAGTTACAAATTAGAGGTGAGACGGCAATTTGCTCGTTCGTCTGGAAGTAAGATTTGACTGGCAGTCTAATTCCGAAAGGAGATAAATTTCCATTTTGATTGCGAGGAGTGCACTGGTTCATTCGACGTATTGATCAAGTATTCATCAACGTACTTATTCTCGGCATCGTCACCGATTGAGCACATATCAACAATTGGCGCTTGTTCATGAGTTTCGCAATCATCCTTCAAGGATACACTTCGGAATGATGTATCGTATGCGGGTGTTTGTAGACAATATTGTTTCGTTGAATCAGGCCATGGTAAAGTCGTTGAATAGAAAGATGATGGTTCGTGTAAATCAAACGCTAAACAACTTCCATCATTCTGAAACAAATCGATTTTTCTGTTGAAAAAACTTTATTTGCAATTTCGGTTCTATTAATCGACAGAATGAGACAATGGCACAATTTCAGTTTTCTCCATTCCACGTCTTCAAATGTTTCAAATTGCAAATTCTTGTAAAACACTCAATGAGCAAATGAAAACAATTGTACGTACAAGGCCAAAAAAGATTGCACTCGATCCATCCGGTGAATAACAACAGCAACACACTTCACCTTCGCACAACATTATCCTGCAATTATTGATTCTCATCAATTCAACAAATTCCAATTTCAAACGAGGAATGCGATGGCATCTCGTGTTGGCATCTCGTTTTTCGAGTCAATCCAACCAATCACATCTTTTCTCTTTCACAATCCCACCAACCAACCTACACGCATCTCATCATTTTGTGTGAATTGTTTGATGCTGCTTTTAAATTTCTTCTTCAATTGCGTTAGAAAAACGACGTTCAGAAAAGAAAGAATACAACGAAACGTCAACAAAGGATGTTAAAAGGAAAAATTCTTGAAGAAGAAAACTTTCAATTGCGATTGTGAGTCACTCTTGATCAAACGAACCGAATGATCATTGCCTATGCAAAGCAGTTTCAAAGTGCGAATGTCAAACCTTTCCGGTGCTTCAGGTCTCGTACATTTGTATTCCACTGCGAGGCTTTTACGAACGATATTCTGCGCTAACGATTCTCTGATAAAAAACGCTACCAATAAGCGATTACCACTTTGTCGAACGCACGTCACTTTTGAATCTATAAGTTGACTCGAACGTCAATTTTCTGACTCAATCATCACAATTATTAATGCTCGCTAAATGATTCAAGTGTGAATGTTGATACAATTTGAATGCTTTCTTCGAGCTGAAACCTTTACAATCCCAGCGTCTGTTGCCTTCGTTTATGCGAAACTTGTTATGCGAAATTTGATTTTAGATCTCGGATATGTTGATCATGAGAAAATCTGGTGTGATTAACAGTTACCACTGGCCAATCCTTCTATCGAGAACACGTTGTAACCAGAACTGAACGTCATTTTGGATCGATGTTTCATTGGAGAAAGTGTTTGTTGATCGCTAGGAGATGAGATTAGATCGATTATGACCTTAATTAGGTCGTTTTAGTAAAATTTGCAAACAATCGGTGTAAGAATTCATGACAATCTATAATACTTCGCATAATCTGTTGTTAATACCTCATAATAATATGATTGGAAGAATGGTTAGGGGAATGCAAACTTGAAAGAAAGCTTATTGCAAAAGTGTAATCGATGCGAAGACTTCCAAAAAAGTCGTCGCAAAAAAAAACAACCTTGGAAGAGACGGCAATAAATTTGCGTAATCGTTCCGATTGCAAATGATTTTGCTTGAATCTCGCAAGATCAGAATCCTCCTTATTAAAATCGATCACCTTTGATGCATTCGGATTTATTACTGATCCCCATCCAATTTCATCTGCAATACTAAAGTTTCCTTGCTATCCATCATAAACCAGTCAAGTACTATGCAATTTGCCTCAATTTCGGCTGAAAGCAGATGAAACTCAACTTGAATTATAAGTATGATAAAATGGTTTTGAAATTTTGCAACTTTACCGACTGGTGGATATTGGGTCCACTTTGTTTCGCATTCAATCTCTTCAGTTTGTATTTCACGACTAAGATTGTCATCGCCAGTTTGCGTTTGAACCTGAATTTGGATGAGTCGGAATTTACAATGAATCATAGATACGAAAGGGTTACTCGCGAACTCGCAATATCACTTTGCATTCCTTCTTGCTAATCCATAAACATAATCCGCATTTATCTTACTAACACACCTTACAAATTTGTTCATGTCTTATTCGACTCCGTAGCCTACAAAATTCATGTGAAATATTCAGATTAGCGTTTCCAAAGTGCTGACCATTGTTAAATCCCGGGGTTGGAAAATGGTCATAAACAGAAGACAAAGCAGCGATGCGATGGCGAAAGACGATGCAAGAGCGATCATAGTGCGAAGTTTTTGCTGACTCTTTTCTGGATAACGAAATCCTCGGTGACGCTGATATTTAATTATTTAGGCCTTTATTGCCCCTTATGTGGCAGACAACAAATATTATCGAATATTACTCAATTCGGAATGTACGAAACTGCCGAAATTCGAAAGTGCACAAACCTGAATGTGACTTTCATCTCCAAACATTTGCATATAGAAATCATAATCACGAACAGGCTTCAATTCGAGAAAATCAAAATACACCAACTCCAATCCTTCAAATTATTTGATATTAATGATAGTTCTATTCTGTATTCATGAGAGAATCTTGATCAATATACCGCATTCGAATAAAATAATTCCTTCTCAGCAAAATATTTTTCAGCTATTATTCCGAGAGTTTTTCATTTTAATCAACTATTCGTGGTCGGATCAACCAATCCTACCAATTGCTTTATCTTTATTCAACAGTATTCTAATCAATTAAGCAGTGAATCTGACCAATTAAATCTTTGAGCATTTCATAGCGTTGTGACATTTCTGCCGAAGGTTCAACACTTGTGACAGTTGCATTCGTAAAGTCAATTTTACGTTGTGCTGAAGAAATGCGCGGCGATGTCGTCGTTCTCTATAATGTTTTTTGTTTAAATTCAACTGTGATAATCTTATTTTGAACGGTTTAAATAAACTGATCTTGCGAGTGACACGCACGAAATAACGAATTTTGTCCACTGTGCCATTTCATTCAACAGTTTATTAAGGTTTATGGATTCGATGGAGGTGATGTATCCTGCTGTAGAACCGATGTCATTTCCAGTGACAGATTATTTACTTTGCATGATGCTCACATACAGTTTATGCGAGAGTATTCGAAATGACGAATTGGAGATAGATATCGTTATTTCAGTAAATGAGTCAATTAGAGATTCCATGAATCAGAAACCTTTCTTGCAGTAGTATTCGCTCTATCGGCCTCCACGACAAGATCAGGTGGACGATTCAGAATCCGTTTTAACATTGGTGATTCACCATATTTCTGTTTGATTTCATCATCTGTTTTGCCTTCCAGTGTGCCCTTTGAATCAGCATCATTTTCGTTTGATCTTTGCGGGATCAGTGTTTCATTATTAGTGTCATCCTCGGTGTCCTCTTCAAAATCTTCACTGTAGTCTTCGAAATCATCCTGTAGAAGATAAGTTTCTACAATTACGATTGCACATCTTAACTTTCTATAGTCTGATAGCAGCAATAACTGGGAATTTAATGTTTCAGTACTTCAGAAAAATTAAATGTGAAATTATAATATGATGGAATATCTTGATGTTGGTTTAGTATGGGGGCAGTGAAACCATTGGAACAGTGTGTTGATGTCCAATCTCGAATAAATGCAATTGCCACTGTGCAACTGAGAAAGTTATATTCAAAACGAACAAAATAGTTAACCTCATAAACATATTCATCATCCTGTTGTGTCAATTGTTGAGTCTGATTCGTTGAAGTTTTTACTTGATCTGTCGATAGGTGGTCAGTCGATGCTTGCAAAGGCATGGATGGTCTACGAGTTCCTACACTTGAGTTCACTGTCGTCAGGCGAGAATTGTATTGGTGGTCGGAAGGAAACGACTCGTTGCGAAATGAAGATCCGGATTCACGTCTTTCGTGCTTTGACGATAACCTCTTTAAAGTTGGAATGTTGAGAACCAATGGAGGGAATATGAAGCTATCTTAGGGAAAGTTTCACGCATTTGAACTGTGAGTTTCAATTTGCATAAAAGAGCACATTCTCATAAAGCACCGATTACTGCATTACTATGATAGGATGAGGATATGACACTGACCTCGCTGTGTCGGGTTCGCTTGGAATCGTGCGTTGAGATGTTCTCTGCCGTGTCTCGTAATGAGCCTTTTGATTCGTGCCTTCTAGTTGAAGACGAATGCCGTTTATCCTTGCCAGACCTTCCGTCATCTTTATTGTTTGATGATGACTTCTTATCACTTTTATCATCTGACGATGACTTTTTATGGCGTTTATCCGAATCATCATGGCGAACGGCTTCTTTCGAGGAATGGCGTGATTTAGTCGCAGATCGATCTCTGAAATGAGTCAATTTTGTTAATGTTCAGATTTTGATGCGAAATCAGGAGATCAGATGAGAATGATTGGATGGTGCTCCTTAGTGGCAATCGACAGGTTGTTCGTTGGTGCATTGTTAGCAAATAACAGTGTTGTCTGTATCACAAAAGAACACCACTGCAAATTGAAATTGTCTAAACAATTGCTTGCATTCAACAATTCCATTGATAGCATAAAATGAATACGCATGAAGAAAAAGGGCAACTTTCAAGTGAAGGCCAACGACACCTTTTTTCTTTTGTTGACTTTTTATCACTTTTTGAGCTGCGATTTTCTCTGTCATTATCTTTCGATTTCAATCTGTTCTTCGTTGACATACGCACCTTCTGAGAACACTGCACCAAATGCAAAGTTTTATTCTATCACTGCAAATAGCTTCATGAGAGGGCATGCATTAGCAAACCAATATAATTTTTTAACGATTGAAGTGTTCAAATTTTTTTGTACAAGGTGAGCAAATTAGCAGAGTACAACGTTAAAGGAAAGTTAAATATAAAGTGAACATGGAAACAATACGTAAAGTTTATATATTTGTAGTGCACCGCACCGTGATTTGTAGTGCACCGTGAACAAGTGTGGTTAGATGAAAAGCAATGATTTATTCTGCAACGTTACTGAATGCTAACGACAATTTAACAAGGCCGCAATGGATATCAATTGATATCGACAACAATCAACCAAATCATCTCCGTGCTAGAGCAGTCGTCATGGTAACCAAGCATAAACATGTTGATTTACGTAGTCTTTAACCGAAGTGTTTCTCTCCATATACGCTGAACAGACGAAGATATCTGATTCGTCAAGAATGGTGAGGCTGTCTGGGCTGAAACCTACTCGTGAATAGTTATTTTCCTTTCTACAATTATTACTCACTCAGTGCAGTAGAACTTAGTGATCATAACATATTTGTCTTGATAACGAATTAAATAATTAAATTATACAATGAACATTTATTGGATGTTTTAATACATAATTCTTCCGTCGTAGGACGACGACTCATTTAACGACAGCATTCTGTGCATCACTGAAATTGTGCAGTCAATTTTTTCATTGAAACTGATCGCTAAGCATGCTTTTTTGATTCTTTTTAACTTCATTGTTTGGTTTGTTCAGTTTTCCGATACTTCTAGTGGTGCGACATATTGATCTCACTTTTGAACCAGATAACAATTGCAATTCAATTTTTTAAGTGCCAACTTTAGGTTTCATAATTGTTTAGTTGAGTGGTCCGGAAATTGAAAATGTCAACAAAATAAAAGCGAATATCGGAATTGAGCAAGAAAAATTGGCATCACTACGAATCAGACATTTATTCACCAAATATTTACCAAACAACAATGATTTTTCTTCACAACACAGAACATTAAATTGCACGCGGATTCGTTAGTAAAATACTTATAAACAGTTTAGTCATTTTTTGAAATCATAACTGATCGTTCGTAGTACTGTATATTTGTTCTTTAGTTTTGTTCTTAGATCTTTTGTTTCAAAACTGCGACCATTTATGGTTTTCGCTTAAACGATTTGACAAATGCACTGTAAACTCATAAACGAACCATGTGAAGGTACAAATGGCCCGAATAAGTTCATTATATTTTACAATAACATCGAAGAATAAGAATCGAATAAGCATGAAATTGCATCCTAGCAGGAAACACGATTTTATCACAACAAATCAAAAGCGTCCACGAAACAAGATTATTCAAAGCAGTTACAAAACTTCAATGAGTATCAAATTATCAATGAAAATACAAATACAAATTTTGTTTCGTTCATTCCGTTAAAGTCATCGAATTAATCAATCATGCCATCATAAAGAATGAATAACGAGTGAAAGTGTTACTTTGCTGCATTCAACGAGTCCTCACACCGAATCGCCCTTCACTACTACTCATTGCGATTATCTGGATCACAAATCCACTTCAATTTTTCAGCTGATTCCAACTGATTTCCATTTGTTTCCATACAACAACTCCATAACCGTATCTTGCATTCATTCGCGATCAGAATTTCAAGTTCAAGATTTGCGAAATTCGTGTAATTTTGAACTATTTCTGCTGAGAATCTCTTGAAACTTTTCAACTGGCGCAATCTCTCCACCAGAATCAACGATATAACAATTGAAAAAAAGCCATTATCCATCAGCACACTGGTCGAGGAGGAGATTTCTTTCGAATTGAGCAATAAAGGTAGAGATTAAGCGGAAGAGAACCGTTGAAAATGCTTATTGTTTAGATGATGTAAACAATAATCATCGTATTCATTTCAAACACGACGTGCATGTTCGTTTACAACATAAAAATGCCGAGATTAGATTGAGAAGAGCTGAAAATTAAATTGTTAGTTCTTGTTCTGAACGAAATCCATGAGATTTCATAGCAGCAACCAGTTTGAATATAGGAATTAGGGATGGAATTAATGGCTAGAATTCGCAACTGTTTGGATACTGCAAAACATAACGATGGAATTCAGTATGCTGTGATGCAGCAGAAGGAATTTAGAGACCGTCTATTTCTCTTCAGTTGACAAAAATCAATCGCAGTAAACCATTCTTAAAGATCTCAACGAAATTCTGAATGTGCAGAGAGCACTGTGCTGAATGCGCTTGGTACGCTTAACTGAGTAGTGACCGCTTAACTGAATCTGAAAAATGAACCAAAATGGCGTGTAACAAACCTTCAATGCAAGCGATAACAAATTGTACACTATTGACAGCAACACCAACTTTTAATTCGAACAGACATGCCTTGAAATCATACTGATCCATTTGACTGAATATATAACTAAGACGTGGTGCATCATGTTCACCTAGTAAGCAAAACGCTTGATTTCGATTGATTTTTGGATGCTGATATGTACCGATTAACGTCCAGTTTCTGAAATTCAAATTTTGAACGCCACAAGAAATGGAATACGAACGGAACTGCATGAGAGAAACACGTAAAATAATCTGTGATGTTGACCATCATATTGCATTTAAAATAAAATAACTGATGGCAATAAAGATCGTATCCAAATCGAAACAAAAACTGATCAAAACTTGGCATTAATGAGCACGAAAGAAGGATGCATAAGAGTACAGATCAGTTTCGGAAGCGTTTTAAGTTGCCGTGAATGTCTACCTGGCTGATAATAATCCACTTACAGCACACACCATAATCGAAATCAGCGAAAGCACTAAATGTGCCATGTAAAGATTAATTGAGCCGTATTTAGCCGCTATACTACCGACAATGGCGTTGAGAAGGTAGACAGAAGACGTCCATATTGCCGAATAGTAAGGACAATATGCGGGTGTGTCGCAGTAACACCAGATACCACCAGCGAGAATCACTACTGCAATTAGTTCAGTTATAAATTAGTGCAATCAAACTCATTCATGTGTATCTAAAACAATCATTCCGGTGACAGGATATTTTACAACTATTTCATGTGTTCATCGAAAGAATGAGTAATACGCTACAACTTCCTGCAAAAAAAAANAAAAAAAAATCATGTTTTCGATTGGTCATCGTTGTTCAGTCGATGCAACAGACACCTTTTTAAAGCACCCAAAGGTGAAAGATATTTGTAAATTGATAAATACTTGATGTGATGCTGATATTTTATTCGGCGTTGAGTGAGCATTGAAACGAGACGCTTTCTCAGCGATAGATAAGAGAATGTAAATGTTGAAAAGCACACTTAGAGAGGGTTGCAGCAATGAAAGGATGGAATATTGTGAAGTGATATTCATATTGTTCAAAAAAATATTAACTTTTTTCAGCAACTTAAAAATGTTCCTTCCTAACAACGCAAAAGATACCAACATAAAATCGTTCCTGAATTCACACTGTTGATGATTATCATTTATCAAATACGATTGTGATCACTGATGAAATCGTAGAAGAGGCATCTGTTGATGTGTTCGACAATGTGTATTATATCAAGAAACAACAATAACGAATATAACATCGATAGTGAATAATGCTTCGAAAGTGTTTAAAGAGTGCCGATATGATAAAAGGAACTAACCAGCTAGTAATGCCTCAACAAGCGCAACTCGAAACATTCCTTTATTTTCACGTCTTGGAAACTTATCAATCCATGATGGGTTATACATTGGTGCCGTTGGCTGCGCATACTCAGAGCAGCTGATCGGCGGTGGTGGGGGAGGACTGGTCGGCGGTCGAATGGGTGCTTTGAGATCCGAGTAGGTCGATAAATTATCGGCACAATTCTGAAATGAAGTTATCAATCGCTTATTAATCTCTCCGCTGACTGATCACTCCAGCTCAGTTGCGATCGAAAATCGCATTCAAATCAAACTCAATATATTGTGGTGGTTCCTCAAGCAGTTCTTCTAAATCTTCCATATTGCTCAGATCAAATGAATTGTGCACATAAATGTTAAGCACGTATGCACACACAGTTGTGGATGTATTGTGATAGCGATTATGCTCCAAGTATGCCACATCAAACTCAATTCATATGCATAATTTGCATTTTTGTTTCCGGTTTAACGATGTTTTTGCTGATCGTGAGCTGATCTGTGGTGAATTTTACACGTTTGCAGAATGGATGGAGCAGGTATTGCAGGGACGGTGATGTTGATGAATAACGACTGCACTGGAAATAAAGACTAGCTGAACTGAAGAATTAAGTGATTTTTTCATTAGCTAATCTTATTTTTATCATGTTCCCTATTGATTCTCTTAATCCCATTTGCGTCTCTTTGCAAGCCTAACATTGTAAGCATCAGAATTGTTACGAATAATATTAGCCTTCGGAAAGCACCATTCCTGTTTTCTCAACTCCATGTTGGGTTGTCAATGCTAATGAACTTATGCTTAAACAAACATTCATGTTGAACTTCACACAAAATATCGCCAGAGTGACGCATAATGCATAGTTTCACCGTTTCAATTACTCAATATTTACTTTAGCTGCTTTAATGAAGCTGATTCTTCATTGTTTAGAAAACGTTCCATACTATACGAAAAATAAATTGGGTATATGTGCGTGACAAACGAATATCATTTAGTATGCAATCGGATACAAATCAAACAAAATAGGAAATTTCACTGAATTAGAAATAATTATATTCACTTCAGTTGGTCATATGTTATCAGCTACTCATCTCAAGAAAGTTTTGCAATTAGAAGAAAACGAATAATTGTTTTGAAAGTAAACAAAGCAAATGAAAATTTTTATAAACGCACTTGTTAAATGCAACCATTGCATACAAACTATCGTTTCTGTTGAAGTGTAAGAAAGTGAAATTGATAAAAGCATTTCGCATTTATTCCTAACTGATAGAACTCTAAATCACCATTTCATTAGTGAAGAAATTGTTTCGAAAAATTGAAGATTCCATTATCATATTCAGGAATGTGACAGAAACTCATAAATTTTTTTGCACGTATGTGCTGAAATGGATTTGTTTGAGCAAGTCGCGTTTTGATTGCTCCAGACGTAATACACATATATGTGATCATACCGATGGTGAATGCACCGAAAGAAGATTTGAAAATGAATTATGATGAGGAGAAGGGACTACTCACAATATTTTATTGAAGAAAAAAGTTATTCGCAAGTTTATTTGTTCGTGATGATGCAAAATCCATGAAAATCACGTCACTGCGCCGAAAATATCACTTTGAAAAGACATCAGTGAAGGAAGAGGAATTCAAATCTCGCGAACAAAAACCTCTCGTTGTGAATCGATCAATTGCGCAAGCATTCAACATTACCAGACCAGATTACTCATCAAAATGACGATAAGATTTCAGTTAGGAATGATCAATGCTGAATTCTTCCTACAAATAAAATCTTTCGGTGATGTACGGTACTGACTCAACAGTATCGTTGAAATGTGTAGAGCATACCCTATGATCGCATCAACAAATAAGCATATCTTGCGATCATCTCATTAAAATGGATATGATCGAAAGGTAACTGCAAAAAACTAGCCATTCAATTTATCTAATTATTCTCGAGTGTAGAATCAGTGTCCAATGGCAACAAATTCTTGAATGAATTATCTGATAAAGAGTAGCGAGAAACTTTTCCAGTAAAATTTAACAGGTAAAAACCGAAAGAAAAGAGAACGGAAAATGTCGAAACGCTAGCCACTAAAACATCTTTCGTACTTTCTGTAGAGCATTTGCTGAACGAGAAAATAATTATCCGCCTATAAGATAGTCAGCCTCCACTTAATCAATCTTCAAAAAATTAACTCAAAAAAAAACAACGACACCAAAACAATCGCTTTCCGATTTAAAAAAAGTGAACAATCAAACTCAGATTATAAACAACGAACACCTCTCACCTGATTGATCGTAACTTCAAGTTTCGGTGCACTGGTCGGTGCAAGCGTATAACCACCTCGACTTGCCGCTAATTTGTTCTTCATATTTTCATATTCACATCGACCAACTTCATCACGTTTCATAACGTTTCCCAGTTCAACATCCAAATCTATTATTCCCTAATGCTTATCGATTTCAAATTTGTATCGACAATGCTGCAGAGGAATTATGACGTTCAATGATAAGTTGGTGGTTGCTGTGCTTGCGTTAGGAGACCAGATTGTGGAACAGATAAGAGAACGATGATTGCCTTTTTATCTGGTTCGGTGCTCGTTTCGATCGGAAATATCTAACAACAACGATGATGATGAGTCTGTTGCGTTCGTTAACTACGTCAATCTGAAACGATAAACAACACACTTATGTGATGAACTAACTAATTTTTGATTCTTTCAACCATTCGGAGGTATTTTCACATTGATGCAGGTTCACATATCTGATCACTAATGACAACTAAGACTAAAAACAAAAATTCTAATCGGACATAAATCAGAGTTATTTGACGTAACGACGTTGTTAAAATTTGACGAGAAGCTATCAGTGTGGGTGATACCAGCTGAGAGTTTCGGTGGACTTGGTTGTACGCACAACAACAACGTTCATTTCTCGACGTGAAATGAACTTTTGTTTTGATATCATATATTAGTAAAGGAATGTGAATGAATCGATCGAATGCGCCAAACAATATCAATTACATTCATAATGTAATACAAACGTTCACGAATCAAATCATGTGCATACAATATGAAATGTCAATGTCGTTTAGGTGACATTCACAGAAACAATTTCCTCATTCACAAAAGATACGAATTTTCAATTGTTTTTTCGCAGCTTATGGCTGCGCAAACGATCGTTTAGCGTTCAAAAATCTAATGCAACATTACAATTGAGGCCCAAACGGTGTCTTTGACAGTCGTAAATTCAGACATGATTTTTTTGCTCACTGTCAGTTAATCGGTGTCAAACATTCGCAGCATTTGGTCCAATGAAAAAAGTTATCACATGAAAGCAAATGAGAGTTGCTTGGCATTTCAAGAAATGTGAGAAAATTGATTTCGTCAATTTAATTACGGAAAGAAAGTGAGAGTTTTTGTTGACAGCCGATGAGCATCGTTGGAGATTCGATGATTGGAACAAACAAATTATAACGAGCTATCCGCATCCAAACGAGCGCATAATAAGCCTAATACACGCCCAGCTCATCGTTCCCATCTCCATGTTCTCAGCGAGTGTCGAAAGCGCCTAAACAAACAAACACGCTTCACCTAACACAAAGGCGCCTGATGAAGGAAGATGAAGCACAAACAAGAAATTGCACATACAAACAAACGCCCACATTACAACCAAAGTGCAGAGCCGAATAATTTTTTGCTTTGTTCGAACCGTACACTAATTCACTCATGCAATAACGAACGGCAAAATTCTCAGCCCCATGTTCAACCCGTCTTCGAATGGAACGTCTAGCGTTAGATGAATTGAGAGGCAGCAATTGATGGCGTTAACGAGCATTTTGGATGTGACTGAAACCATTCGGAACACATGCATCATTGTTAAGCCACATCCACATCATTCGGTTTCATACAATAACACCAACGTTCTTCCATTGCCCATCTTCTTATGAAAACGTTCATCTCATTCATATAACCTCACACTGTCACAGTACATCAAACGTGTACACTATCTCATGCAAGAATAGCACCTATAACATTAGAATTTTTTCATTTCCATTCTTTCAAACAGTTGAAAAAGAACTCGGAATATGTTTCGAAACGTTTCCAAAGAAAAACTGGAAAATGCTAAAAATCGATGACAAAATGATTTAAGGTAGCAATCTGACAGAAGTGAGACGATGAACTGTACCAAAATATAAATAAGAGCACATTTCACTGATCGAAAATTATTGGTACGTGGAAGCTGAACAGCAAACGTCCGTTGAAAACTGACAGTTAGATATACTACTCTTAAGCAAACAATCGGCATTCACTCGAAATTTATGCATAAAAGCAGAACATAATAGTGACGCAGTGCTGCATCGCAGACAGCTCTATGACATCCTTGAGCAGTGAAGTTCTCAGATCAGCATGAGCAATTCCATGAGTATTCATTATTATTAATTGCAATCATTTTTTTGACAAAAGCGTCACTGTTGCATTAGAAGCGTGCAGCCTTCAGCCGTTTTCCCTTTTTGACCTGCCTTCCTAAATATCGATTCATCCGAGAGCATATCGATTCCATAGGCTCTATNAAATTGAATGAAAATTAAGTTAATGCATGATATGAGTCATTACACTGAATGCAGAGTGATGATACAAATGCAGTTTGGAAATCGCAAACATTCAGCACACAATTTAACAGTAGCGATAGTAACTGTGCATTTATAAAACTGAATTGCGATGAATGAATATTTGCAGGTGTTGCAATGAATGCATGCGAGGAGAGAGGATGAGTTTGAGTGCGTTGTTGTGTAGCATTTCGAAAAGATCGATTCAACTCGAACAGAAAAAACTGCCGAATGCATAAAATAAGAATGACATCAAAATGGATCACATGGAAGAAAACGTTGCGTCGTTGTTGTTAATGAACCCATAAAGTTATTGTTCAGCGTTTTTCAATCCAATAAATTCTCTTCATTAAACATCTTTCTGAGAACACAAAGAATGACTTCATCATTCGAAAGGTGCAATTCCACTGGGACTTCGTGAAAGTTAATGTGATTTTTTTCATTTGACTGTGGGCAAGTCATGAAACTAGTTTAGGAACACTGGATATCTTAGTGCAAATGCATCGATTCCATTCAAAAGTGACTGAATTTTGAGGATTGTTGTCGGCAATTAGATATAATGATAGCAGAAATTATCATGCAGTGGGTATCACGGTAAACAATCGATGAGAAAGTAAAACATTCAGAGCATGAACGCACATGAACGCGTTCGTATAATGAAGTCACGTTTTCGTCAATCGACTGGGGGAAATTTTCGTTCACGGGTTGGAGGTTCATTTCGGCATTCAAAATTTCGCTTATTTGATAACAGTGGTTTTTTAAGAAGAAATTAATTCGATTGAAAGTATTAGCAGACGAAACAAGTAATCAAAACAGAGACAAAGTGACTGAATCGATAGAGACGAATGAATTGCTGGAGGTTGTTTACGATCTATAACCTCTTTGATCAGACATCAAAACATGACACAATCTCATATCAATTACAAACCACACCCTTTGAATCACATCATTCATTCATGGTCTAAACCGAGAATATCAACAAAAACATGCCATTTGAAATTCTGATCAGCTGCTGATTTCAAACGGGTCGAGTAGAGTGAATTTGAATACTTTATTCACAAGCATACCTGAAGCAAACTAAACATTGGATTCATCAATACATAGGGCATTGGTGAAATTGATCCGCTGAAACACACAAAAACCACTTTGTGGATGCTATCTTCTTAGACTAATGGATGAAACAATTGAAGATGGATTTCATGCCACAACTACTTATTATATGAATGCAATATGTGATTGTTCAAGAATGCCACACTGATTTTTCATTTACCGTTATTCAATACCTCATAACATGAAAAGAATGTAACCTCCCAACGCAAAGCTAACGTAATTCATCCAACGATACACGCACGATTCATGCGAACATTCTTTCAACTGCTGCACCGTGAAAGCTTCAATTTGTTTTACCATAGAATGATTTCATTCCAACGAAAATAATTTAGCAAATGCGTTTAAAAGACAAAGAGTAATAGACTGCTAGATAGATGAAGAAACAAAAGATCATGGTTCAGCTTCTTCATACATACGTGCTATTCTATTGTTCATATATCTTCATCCATAGAAACTTTTCCTTTCTTTCCTTCTTCCTCGCTGTGTAGCAAATAACCTCTTGCAAATGTATTTATCTAAATGAGCATTAGGAATAGAACTGAGTTTTGATTAAAGCTTATGTGAACAGTAATAAGATAAAGGCGTTCCGGTGCTGTACGCAGTGTTGTCTTCAATTCAAAAGCATATTCAATAAAAGCATGATTTAGCTGTATGCCTCATCTGAGTAAGCATGAGTAATTTGATCTCAATTGTTGGAACATCTTTCAAAATATCGATTTTGATTCATCTTTGAGATTTTGACACTCTAGCATGAGCTGGGCTATCGTTAGGATTATAATTTTGTGCATCTGTATGTTTGAAATGCAAGTATTACGTAATGATTAGCTCATCTGCAGTCAGTGATCTTCAATTGTTGACTTTACCTTTGAACACATACATAACTGAACCCTTGAAAGTTCTGCTGTTCCTCCTCGTTCTTCACAGCTATTCAAACAATACGATGAATCATGTGACTTCAACTAAAACATTTAGATTATTTTGTTATTGAGAACCTTACATCCAACCCAACAGCCAACGAAATTGTTCTTCTGAAAACAAATGTACTAATAAATATTTTCCTTTTCACATGTAAGTGGGCAGGTGCTAATGCAGCAGGAACTTAGCAATAGGCAGATGCAAATGATGTTTGGTGATGTGGGATGACAAAAATGAAACGCTAAGAATGCTGTATCAACATAATAGTAATGTAACTGTGAGAACGTCTAGCATAATTTCATGGGTGGTGTCGAATTGAGAAGAGCAAAGTGATCAACTCAAAGCATCGCACTGAGTTAAATTCTATACTCATAGCTACAAATGCTCAAAATCTCATATGGATTTCAGTCTGAAATATCTCTGAAATTCGGAACTTCCACTCTACGGCACATACACTAGGACGTTCTCGCAATTCAGAGCCTTGCTTAAAAAATGAAAAATACAGCAGTGTATGGCTTCCGCCGTAAAAATAGACCGCTTGAATATAGTGAATTCTGAAGGCTAAAGCATATGAATCCCTGCAATGATGTGAACTAAATCGTCTGCATGAAACTAAGCACTATCATTATTGACATACAGCGTTCCAAGTAAGTTAAATAATAGCTCTATCCTGGATATCTGGAAGATGTACTGCGTTTTTGTGGCCCAATTTAATCTTTATAAGGATGGTTGAGTATGTCACTCTGTGAAGTGTTGCGACTGACATCGTCGATGATGGTCACCTTCACGCAGAAACTTTTCCAACTTCTTGCTATCATCACAATGAATTACATTCGTTGTTTTAAGACGAAACGGCAAGTGTCATTTAACAATGAAAGTCAAATCCGTGAGATATGCTTGATTAAATTATCTCTCCGATCAACTACATAACGCGATGACAGAATTTCCAAATTGGCTTATTTCAATGCCCACCATATCGATTTCAGTATAATAGAAATGAGGATCCATCCTCAAATATACTGATAATTCCATTGTTTTGCATTTACATTTTATTCGGAATGTTTGGCAGCTTCAGACATTTTATGCCTTCTGAGCTAAGAATTCGTAGTAATAAAACTGCATAGCCATATTCTTCAAATTTTGTTGTATGAAGTTTGCTTTCCGTCGTTTATTTGGAATTCAGTTTTATGCAAAATAATTCATGAACTAGTTGTCAGCTGAAAGATGGATGCTTTTCGTACAACTGATATCGTGAATCGGAATAATTTTTGGTGTACATTTTGTGCATAAATCAACTTTATCGTAAGATTCAAATGAAGTCATGAATTTGATCGCAATCATTTATACGTTTATTGCGCAATGGGGGTGGTGTTGCGTATTGTCTTCATATTTTGTCTGATTGATGTGTCAAAAATTGTGCTAGGTGCGTTGTTTCACAGTGTTTTCTTCATAATTGCAACTGCATTGCTTACATTGTTGTGGTTTTCGATGAGCATTCATTTGGTGTTCCACATGAATGTTTGATGCACGATTATGCTGACATGATTTAGTAAGTGAGATTGAATTCGTTCATTCTGTCCTCAGAAGTGCGCAGATGACATGTAACGGTTCAACTTATTAATTATTTTTGCCAGGCTTGCCCCGTTTACAATGCACCGAGAAGTTATTTTGTTCGAAATACGAACGAACGAAATGGAACCAAAAAAAGGCTGACGTACAAAAATTAATCCAACTTGCTACAATTTCAAAACGTGATCAATTCATACTAAGGTAGTTGATTTCATGTGAGATTCACATTGCTTTCAGAATCAACTCATCCTTTGACATTCAAATAACCCCCTTTGAATATTCAAACTACATGATTCAGCGTTTATTTGTTAGCACATGGAAAGAAGTGAATGATGCAGTGTGCTGGAATTACCTTCTAGGCATACCACGAAACATGATGATTAGTAGTGAAGTGATAAATTTGGGAATTATTCATGGAATACGATGATAGAAACGGGAAATAACATAATAAATGAAAAAATGAAACTTGACAGCTCTCTAAATAACTAACCAATTCATGAGCATTCTCGCTACGCTCATCCTCACGATTTCACAGTTCTTCTGCGATCGTCATAACCATCTTGTCGCGCACATTCAGTCAGTCAATGGTGTTCTAACTGTTAGACTCATTGAACAATTCAAATGGTGATGAATCTTCTTAGAATCTCGATGCTGATTTATAAAACTTTCTAGTTCGTCGCCACTTCTCAGTGCCTTAAAAACCCGACAGGAATTATGCAATGATTATCGAAGTGCTGGTTTCTTATTGAGTAACGAAAGTGATCATCAGTGGTCAACAGCATGCATGTGGACTGGTGGAGAATCATCGGCCAGTTGTGCTCTTGCGCCAATTGCAAACAAAACAATTGATTTCATGGACAAACACAAATGGAGAAAACTTCTGCATGTGTGTTTCGTTAATATTTAATGATGGAAGACGTGAGAATAATCGAGATAATTATGTATAATTTTCTTCGCAATGTACCTAGCTTATGCAATTCGGGAATTGCTTTGATTCGAAATTTTTGTGACCCTTCCTAGCAATCTGAAAAATCCCATTTGCAGTGGATTTTCGCATCACCAGCTTAAGGAACTGACTGAAATCTCCATTATCCATTATCCAAATCTTAAAAATTTCCACTCCAAATCTCACCATCTAATGCATTTACCGGCATTTAAATCACCTCGTGGAAAGATTCAATTGGAATTTGAAAATTCTCAGTTTATTGGTGCATTGTTTACACTGGCAATCTTTGGAAGAAGTTTACAGCTCGTCTCATTTTCCTTCCTTATTCACACATGATCAACTTTTGCATTGCAGACATTTCGAACAGCAATTGGTTGCTCCAAAGAAGAAATTAAAGCGGTTGATCGTGTCAGTTTATAAGATATAATATTCATAATATTTATGAACTCATGAAAAGTCACAATAATAGCAAACATGATATCGATAATGACAATAAGAATAATTTGATTGCTTGTGATGCATGAATATCAAAAATGATATTTTTAAATGCGTGGCAAATATAGCCATTTTTAGTCGTGGCCAGCTCGCAATAACTGGGGACGAGGAAGTTGATGCAAAAGCACTAAAAACTTCTCTATTTCAGGTGGAAGAATTATATTTCTGTACGGAACGTTGTACACAAGCTGGTCTTGGATACTTTTATACGATGCTTGTAACGTGCGTAATGTTCGTGTCAATCATGACTTTCTTTTCAAGACCATAAGTAGCATGATGAACGCATAAAATGCATTGATATTAAGAGTGATGTGATTCGCGAAAAACTTGTCATTATAATGCTGCTCTGATTTGTGATGACAATTCAGTTGCTGAGGGTAATCTAATAAATGTCATCAGTTTTACATATCTGTGTGCATTATCAGGCATCGTCTCAAAATGATTCACTTTAGTCTTGAATCTACTCCTCGAATCATGAGAAACAAGATCAGGGTAGATTCTTCAGTTTGAAATGAACACACCACTCTGAAATATTCGCATTTCGCGTCGCTAATTCAATGCAAGGTTGAAATATCCGCGTTCATCGAAATATCCGACTTGAAATACTTGCAATCTTCATCCAGTGAGTTCTTAGTACGGTTTGAAATTTTCGTATTCAAAACAAGAGAAAGGAAATACTGCTCGGCAGTGGATCGGAAGACCTTCCCGGGGAAATGACTGCCTTCTGAATTCGTAATGTGATGCGACGTTCCATGTGGAATATGATGAATGATGAATTTGGATGAAGAATGACTTCATTAAATAATTGACCATTTTCATATAGGGTGCTGCGGAGACAGAAAAAAGTCAGGGACGGGGAAAGTCGGAGAAACTTTGCGGTCGAGAACACCGAAAACGTGGTCGACTCAAAAAAAGTCGGCGATTGGGATTCGGGGACGAGGTCCTCGAAAATTTCCAACCCCGCAACACAATATTTAGATAAGACTTCTTACTGACGACTTTGGAATGTCACATTTTCTGATGAAATGCCTTTGTGACAATTCATTTGCACTGAAAGTACGCGTAATGAGATTTGAAAAAAAANAAAAAAAAAGAACAAAAGATGACGGATGATCATTTGAATTTATTTGCAGGATTAAATTGCTATCATTTTATGACATAATTTGCTCATGTTATTTGTTACTTCCTAAGTGTCGGTCATTAATGTACCGGTTTCATCAGTTTTTTCCATTATTTTATCACTCGTTCTTACAGAATTGTATTCCGTTTTCCTTTATGTAGCTGCATCTTCGCTTCTTCATGCAGTTGCATATCGTTGCTGCATTCTATAGGATCGTTGCTTCATGTAGGCAAGAGACAACGGTTTTAAAATACAACGTAAATGAAGAGCGAGACAAATCATTCATCTTGTACGTGTAGAATCAAATTAATGACTTGATGATTTATTTGATGTCAACCTCGTTCTAACTGCATAGATGAAAATCACCAATATTCGGTAGTGATTATATTTTTTTGGTTGAAATCATGAAAATTCAGTTCACTTCAAGTTATTACTGGGCGCTTTTTTTCGAATAAGCGAACAATATCATAAAAATAAGCGACCCATATTAGCGAACATTCTGTAATTTCCTCTGGAAAATACTATGCAGTTCCGATCATCTATGATCCTTCAACTGTGAGTTCCCCCATGTTTTTTGTGTCGCTATGCATTTGCTGACCATATGTTTACTGTATTCTTCGAAGAAAAGCTTCACAATGGTTTATCGAATGACTTTTTGTGTTTTTTCTAGAGAACACTTGATAGCCTTCAACATCTTTTCCTGTTTCATGGAATTGCTGAGTAACATTCACGTATTAATCTTGAAATACATGTTAAACTATTACTGTTTTATTGTTTCCTGAACATTTTCTCGTGAATTCGAATAACGATGCTAAATTTATTGCCACTGTTTCTTAGCTTGTTGAATTTCCAGCAGTAAGGCAATGGTGAGAGTATAGCAAAGGGAAATAGGATGTAAATATCACTTTAAAATTTGAAAAGCCATAATGTCAACCGTGATATCCGGAATGCGTTTATTTATAGAAACTGAAATTCATTTCGGTTTCCAGATTGTCGATGGTTTTTGTTATTCTCAGCTCACGTTAATCGTATGATCTTCTTAATTCATACCGACGCCTCAGCTGTTAATCTCATACAATGATCAACAGATCCTTAGAAAACTGACCTATTTCAGTGAAAGTCAATTGAAATTTTGAGCGAGCTTCATCAAAAACACTGAGAACCAGAGGCAAATTACAATTTGAATTTTGCTATCAGGTCAAATTCGATGCAGAATAAACGATCAAAGAGACGTAACGAATGAGTGGGTAGGTGTAATAAAAAGAAATGTGATTTTATTATGCAAAAGAATGCAAGGCGGTCTGTACAAGGATGCTATTGTACTATTGCAAGTGATAGGTAAATTCGTTCAATTATCTGCGGTGTTGTGCTTTTGGGAATAAAGATGCAATGATAAATGCCGAAAATTAACGCCCAAATGCGGCGTACTTAAGTGGAATTATTCAATGAACAATGAAATAGTTTGCGGTTTGTCACTTCACTCATCCAGAGTAGCGTTCCGTGAACGTTTTTCAACGATGTTGATCGACGATATTCACAGCCGTACAAAGGCTTACAGATTCGTTGCATATGCAGCCATAACCTTCTCATTCGTTTCCGTCTTATCTATTTGTATCACTCTACCAATTGCCTACAATCACCTTCAGCATAATGAACAACAAATCCGCTCTGAAATTAATTCTTGCAAGGTTGTTTCAATTTATTTTTGCTGGTTATTTTCCTCATTTCAAGCGCCATTCAGCTCAGTTTGTTCAGTCAATCCAATAAGTCAATGTATACTACTTGGTCACGGTGATAATAGTGATATCACACAGCCGTGTGCGTTATCATCGAACATATAACAAATTTACTTGCGTTACACTGTGGAAGGAAGCTGCTGATTAGTAGCTGTTGATCATTTTGCTTTATTATTTGTGATGGCGTCAACGTTATTGATGGCGTCTGATTGACGTTATCGTTGTATGTCCGACGGCATTTAAAAGTGAATTCATATAAAAATATTCTGAGGTCTTGTGTAAACGTATGTTCCCTGCGAAACCTAAAACTAGCTGCTGTTTTCAGGAATCTGCAAAAGAGACATGGCAACATGTCAATTTGCTAGAAAATGATCCGATTTCTCAACATAATCGAAGCACACGTCAAACGAAGCAATGTGAGGGATGCTGCATGTCTAGTCCAGCCGGTCCTAAAGGGCCATCTGGAAAGTCCGGCAAAGCAGGAAGGCCAGGAGCACCTGGCGCGCCTGGCAATCCTGGAAGGCCTCCGAGTCTTCCTTGTGAGCCTTTCACTCCACCACCTTGTAAGCCTTGTCCGCCAGGTCCACCTGGCCCTGTTGGTCGAAAAGGACCGCAAGGAGATCAGGGACCAGAGGGCTTTCCCGGAGACCCAGGTGAATATGGCCTACCAGGAGAATCGGGAGCGAAAGGGCCAGACGGTTTTCCGGGAGATCCTGGACCTATGGGACCGAATGGATCACCTGGTGAGGATGCTATCAATGAACCCCTTGAGCCTGGCGAGCTCGGCGAATATGGTAAGCGTTTAAAGTTGGCTGATAAAAACTACGATCCGAGAATGTTTTCAGTGAGTTTACGGTTCAATTCGTTGTCAGACATATGGGCTGAAGTGATTACAAGAAATCATGCGGAAATGCCATTGAATTTTCTGAGAAATGTGCCCCAAATTTCTTGTAATCAATCTGATGCGTAGCGAGTCGAAGATGATTGACAGCAATATTTTAAGTGAATTATTCGAATGAATGTCTTGACCGAATGTGACTCATATTCAGCTAGTATTCATCACCATTTTACATTCACTTGTTCTTCTCCAGTGCTTGCAAAAAAACAACACCATGTTTGAAAATTATTAGCCCTTAAATGCTCAACAGGTGACGCCGGTCCATCTGGAATACCTGGACCTCGTGGACAACCTGGACTTGATGGAGTGCAAGGACCTCGAGGACCACCTGGTGAAAAAGGTGCTGATGGAAAAGGTGGTGCAGATGGACGACCTGGAGCAAGGGGGCCAACAGGACCGGCCGGAAGGTCGGGCGAGAGAGGCATATGTCCGAAGTATTGTGCTCTTGATGGTGGTGTTTTCTTTGAAGATGGAACACGCCGTCGCTGAAACTGAGCGATAACGTGCATTCGTAGGATTGAAAAAATGCATCTCTCTGCATGGAGAAACGCTTTCTTTCAATTCATTGTAAGGCAGAATGGAAGAGTCTATTCAGTGATCATTTTATCGTTGAACAATGATCAAATGCGTGTTTTGCAGTCAAACTCTCAAAAGATGAATGAATTCATTTGTAGGATTTTCTTTGTTGAATTTTATAGGATGCTTTATTATTTTCAGATAAACTTTGTACGTATGCGTCATGTCAGCAATTTTTCATATCTCAGTAAGCAGGATGAATACAACTTTTCAAAATCAATACCTTTGGTTCTGTTATTGTTTATCTTAGCGCCATAATGAAATGTATAAATTCACTCATTTATAAATTTGTTACGATTTTGAACAGATTGAGTACAACCTATACAGGCTCACACTGACTCGCAAACATTGCCTCAACGCATCACAAATAACAAATGAATATGATACGATAATTTGTACAAGACTAATACCACAATAATTCATAACGATATGCATTATATGAGTTGGTTGAGTAACGTGGAACAGAGGCACTGAAACCTTCTTTTGCCACAAAAACTGTTTTTGGCAGGTTTGCAGTTGCAAAACTTTTTCGGTGTTCTACCTTGATATGATCGTTTGAAGCTAATTACAGGGTAAGATGCTATTCAGTTAGTTATTAACAGTTTTTAGTCTTCTTCTGGCACTTTGCACGCTCCAATTTGAGTTCGTTATCTGTCGACGACTGACTGAAAATTCCGTGAAAATTGTCTCAAACTTCAAAGGAAATTGCAACCAAATTGCATATGCGGCACATTGAAGATGTGCGGATGCGAATTCGGGTCAAATTCTCGATCTTATCAGCCACTGCTCACCTCTTTCATACATACTATCGCATACTCGTGTCCAAAAAAGAGTGATCTCAAACAAATGTTCAGGCATCGGCTGATTTATTTAGAGGAAAGAACAGCACAGATTTCGTTGTGATTTTCTTTCAAAATCTAGACAACGATATATGCGAACGATTTTTACCTATTTCATTTTTATTGTAACATTTGGATATGCGAATCGAATGAGCGCATTGTTGAAGAACTAGTTTTGAAGAACTTCCTCAATGTTAATGTGAATAATTCCGATAAACACATAGCATGTAAGTGTGAATGGTGATTTACAATCCACTTGTAAAGGAGTACTTGAATTTGAATTAATGCAGCGACCACTTGTGACGATTCAAAATTGATTCTGTTAAGAAGTTGATTCAAGTGTCCATCGCATAACACAGGAAAATAACAATTCTGCAACATTTTAACTTTATTTCAAAAAATCATATGAGCGGAACGATAAAATTGACTAATCATAGTTCTTCGAAGATTTCAATGAGTTGAAACGGAGACTTAGGATAAAATTGACTATCACTCGAAGTGAACCAGCAGTTGGAAAAAGAATTTCACAGCCTCGAAAAGGTGGACCTTCGAACTGATAGGGATCGTCAACGTTCTCTTGAGCTTCATATAGATTTGCAGCATACTGTAAGATCACATTCCAGCCTGTTTACCAGTTATGTTTCAGCTTTTAAAATGTGAGCAAATGAATATGCAGCTGCAAAGGTAACGTTTTGGCTGATGATACGTGATAAAAATTTGCTGGATAAAATGGAACGCTGAACTCAATGAGCAACATCGTGCTGTTGCAGCTGCAGGTAGGTGTTCCATCATTAGTGTTCGATCATTCATTGTTATTATTATTATTAGCATTATTATTGTTGTTATTGCTACTATTATTATCACCATTATCAATGTTATCAATACTATCATTAGTATTATTCAGTACCATTGAGTCAGTCTAATGTTCAGGCTACTACAGTGGATGAGTTACACCAAGCTACATGCACTGGATTAAAATATTGCAGGCAATATAAAGTGAGGAATGCATGATGATAATTGAATGTTTGATGGTTTTTAGCAACCCGAATTTGGAGTTTACCAATTTATTGGTTCGAATGAAGATTAGTGATGCTGACAAATGCTCATAACTAAACTCTTTTGTTAAACCAAGGATTATTACTATTTCGTGCGAGGATATTCAGGGTTGTGCAAGGATGGTGGAGATATGATTTCTCAGATAATTCAGCACTGATAGCTGTTAGTGATTCGGATCCACCAAACAAGATTGCATTTGATACCACTGTGAGAGAAGAAAGGCGATTTAACGATTGCAACAAGGGCGAGTGATTGCGGTTAATGCTCAAAACTGTCTGTGAGACATTCCCTCAGGAAATCACTAAAGGATACGACTCCAATTCTGATTAAACGTTAAACACTTTCAGCTGTTGATCATACTTTGAACCGTAGGAGCGGTCTGTCACAGAAGTCGTTCACATTTATGCCTCCAATAAAAGTTTATGTTCGGAAGAATTCAGTCGCACTGAACAAATCAATTCATTCAAAACTCATCACTATGGGAAAATGTGCGTAGTTTTATGACTGAAATGTTGGGATGAATAGTACTCCAGCCGAAGTTCCAGGTCAGGAAGCTTACCAGTAACGATATGCGCAAAGTTGTTGACAGAGATGTAATCGATTTGTATCCAAAGGTTAAAGATTAGGTGCCTCTGTTCATCAATCATTCTTGTCACCACAGCCTGAAACCCTCTGTTTTCCCAGTCATTAATATCAAAAGCTGTCGACCACCTGCGTGGACAATCTTCTCTCACTCCAATTCTTTTTCGTTTTGCACTATTTCTGTCAAAAAGCCACGTTTTCAACACAATTTGTCAAAATTTTCAATTTCAACACAATTCATCATGCTGTTTTTCTGATTGAAATCACAGAAAGAGAACAAAATAGAAGAACTTAAACGGCAGAATGGAATAGAACAGAATGAAACGGCTTGAAAATTCGGGTGGCGCAGAGATAGACCAGAACAGCAGAATGGTGGAAAAGAATAGTTAAGAACGATTGTCGAAACAGGGACACGCAGAGTAGAATAGAACAGAATAGCAGAACGGCAATAGAATAGAACATTTTATCAAGAATGTGGAATCGCTAATACCCTAGATTATCGTCCGCACCATTCACCCTCAAATCAGCATTTTTATCCAGCAATCAAATCCAAATTCCCGTCCCCTCCCAATGAGTGGCAGAAAATAAGTGAAAAGTATATTTGATCAAAACTTAACTCCTATTCGATAAGATCGTTGGTAAGCCGATTCACTTTTGGAAAGTCACAAAAATTAATCGTTTCCGTTTATTGTAATCAAACATAATCGTTTCCAACATTTAGAAAAAATCATCGTATGTCGCAAAAAAATCGAATCAACTGGTACTCACGTAGTGCTACTCCAAACGAAGCTCGCATTCAAATGAACTGCGCGTTGTCCATTAGAAATTGCATAAGCTCTCTCTTACTATTCCTTTACTACTCGCTGTTAATGTTTTCAGCTTTTCGATGATCTAGAACCTTAGCATGTTTTGGACGAATGATCCAACAAAGAAGTGAAAGCATCCATCTAAACCAGTTGTTTGGCCACTGAATGAGTTTCTAAGGTTCACGTGTGTCGCCTTCACAAGACTCTTTTGTTGCTCTAACTGCAATGAATTTTGATCACAATAGGCCGTAGAATCAAAGATAGGTGATTTATGAGAATTTATGTGAAATTAACAGTTTGTGCGATGCACCTTCAATACAATCAATCACGACTATAGAGGAGAACAAAGTTGATCCTCGCGGACTAATCATAATTCTTGTCTATTGTGACTTCTCACAAATTTAATTGATAAAATAAACGATATGTTCATTAATACATGAAAAATTTGAATGACAAAGCAATTTATCCTGGACATTGGTAGCATATTTTAAATCGTCGCATTCGATATTTGAATCACCTTGAGAAGATGAAACTTTTTTAGCGGTTGATTGTGATGAAGAATAAGCGGCGCATTGTTGACCTTGAAATTTTTGTATAACATTAAGTGTTTTTTATGAGAGTTCATATGAAAGTTTTTCGTTGAAAATATTAACTGCATTCGATGAAATAAATTGCACATTTTCATAACAAAAAGAGTGCGTTTCATGTAATCTCTGTGCCTTTTATGTAGCGAAAGCATTGAGTTAGTTGATTCGATATCTTAATCGTCTTGCTTACACGATCTTTTTGTTCCTATCGTCACTAACATTTTACTTTACATGAAACGTCAAAAATTGGAACCTGAAAAAAATTTGATGGATGTAGTGGAATTTTTTGGTGGGAATATTGTTATTCGAATAGACATAGTGTCTTCGTAGAGTAATAAATGCTCGCTCGGCTTTTTCCATTGAAATATACGAATCTTCTACGGATCAAATTTGGAATTTGGTAAATGAATGCATGAGGCAAACTTATGGAAAGTGAAACTGTGCATTTTATATAGCGTGAAGATCAACCTGTAAGAATTAGAAGGCGAAAGAATTGGAACAGGTCCACGATCAACAGGCCATAATTATTTTATATGTAAGCTCCTTTGGGCTTAACGGCTTTTTTCTTCCATTGGAGGCTTCATATGTCTCAGTGGCTTAGCGTTAGCTAGGTTAAATATGCCAATTGTCCACAAATTTCAAGCGATGATTCCCCGCCCATACAAACACATACATTCATAAATTATATATTGTGCACGATAAATCATATAGTGAATCAACACATTAAATCGTAAATTAACGCGATAAATTAATATATCATGAATTAGCACGATAAATTAATTGTCACATTATTCATAAATTATATAGTAACTATTCACGCGAAATTCCAAAAAATTTGGCATGCTTGGCATATTTCAGTGAATTTGAATCTATTCGTTTATTTCAAAATGGTGTTCTTTCATGAAATACGAAGTTCAGATTCGTTTTCCGCGGAAAAAAAGCTTCACAATACCGCTTTCTAGTTCCTGACCGAATAATCACCATTGAACAGCATCGATTTATGAATGCGTGTGTTTATGCTGACGGGAAAACTTTTGCTGAAA